TGGATATAGGTTGCCCTTCCTTTCTGTCATATTGGAAACTTTAAGAGATTTTAATTCCAGAACTTTGCTTCTGATCATCCAGTCTAATCTCTTGCACAACAGACACCTAAGAACCTCTCTCAGCCATTCTGCAACAAGCCCAAACTTCTGCTTGAGGTAGAGGTTATCGACTTAGAATAACATTCTGCCTACATTTTAAAACTTTATGTGACGGAGAACAGGCAGGGTAACTAAGTTGTCTCCATGGGTAATCATCCTCTCTGTTGAACTTAATTGCATTTAATTTCTAGTCTGAAATCAGTTTCCCACCAGTGCAGCTCATCATCCCCTTTTCTTCTAAATAAGGGCGACCTGCCTGCAGACACCTCCTCCCCGGCAGGCTGTGAGTGCAGGCGCAGCTCAAGTCACCTCTTCAAACTCTGTTAATTAGCAGCTTGAGCTTCATTAGTCTGAGCTTCACCAGAATACTAACTCTTCTCCTGCCCTTGAAGCAATGGTCTCCCCAGTTTCCCAGGATCCCTTCGCATCACGGGCAGCTATGGCACCTGTCCTGCAGCAGTGCCACCATGGCTGTGTGCTCAATATCTTCCCAAGGGCTGCCTGGAAGATCCCATTTTCCCAGCTGGGAAGAGCATCATCAGGGCTGATGACGCATGGATTATTTAGGAGAACCGCAGAGTTCCGCAGTCACCATGTGCTCACATCCTCCCCAGCCTTCCAAGTGGCACTTGCGCTCTTCTCCCTCGGATTTCAGAGTTCTCAAAACTCCACCTCAGCCTGTACTACTGACCTGCTGCACGTCGCTATTTACCACGCACCGATTTTGGGCACCTCTGGATGCTGCCAACAGTAAGTTTGCGTTTCCTTGGGAGGAATATTGAAAACAGAACATACCTTGTGAGGAGCTCATTAGAAATATCCTCATTGATGATAGTTTTGTAATTACTGCTATTTTTTTGTGATATCTCTCGTAATCGGCTTTAAGCTACTTAGTATGGGCTCTATTGATTTTGCATAGAGCTATTTTCTGCTTTATCAGGACCAAATGATCAATAGAAGACTAAGTATAGGATGTCATCAGAGTTTCTTTTATCAACAAAGCCTTTGATATCCAAAAAATGATAGCAAGTCTTTTGATACAACACATCTCTATAAAAATCATTTGGAGGATCCTATCAATTTTTAATTGCTTTAACGATTGTGCCGTATCAACCTTTCCATGATTTCGCCTATGACTGATATGACTAATGAGCCCATAGTTTTCTGGGTCGGGTCACTCATTCATTTCAGTTATTGGCATTTTTTTGTCATTTGAAGCTTCTTTCATGTCTCCCAGTTCTGAGCAATCCTAGGCAAGCTTTCCTACACTCCTGGAGTCAGTTATCTGGCTTTCATATTAAAAATAAAAATGTTTGGATAGTTGCTGTTTCACATTACCAATAATTACTGATGCAGTAGGAGGAATTACATTTTAATGTGCAATCCGATTCCCTCATGCTACTGCTTTCAAAAACGAAACAGGAATATTTGGTGATTATTCCTCTGTTTCATGCACTATGAGTAATTACTGTGTTGGGCCTGTCTAACATCAGACATAGCTCTGTTACGACTGTGTTTATTAGGATATATTAAAAAAAATTACTAACCATAACTTACTGGCCACTGAATTTCCACACATTTATTTGGCTTCCTTCATCAATGTTTATTTTCTTCAATTGCTGCCTCATCACCTAACCATTATGTTAGTGGAAGACTTTTTGCACTCCAGTTATCTTTCCTGAACTTTACTTTAGGAAGTTGCAGGTAATGTTGGTGGTACTTTTCTCCCATCAATTTTAATTATACCAGAGGTCCTCTTCTTTTTAAATTAAAATCTTATTGACCACAGCCTATGTATACCAGGGTCAATCATGCCACAGTCTTGTAGCAGGGGCTTTCAAGGAGAAATCTGCCTGCAAAGATGTTACTTGTTAAGAGAGGACTGAGGTGAAAAATGCAGGATTTTGCTTTGCTTGCCCAAGACAGTTTTGAATAATTGGGATCCTGTGGCTTTGTGTGGGGCTGAGGAGGTTAGCTGAAGTTACAACAAAAAAATCACCCCAGGACTGGCTCCATGGCTGGCATCAACCCCCAGCCCTCCAGGGACTGTGATGGATCGGTGCTAATTTACATCTGCTGGGGGTCTGGCCCGGAGGCTTCCAAAAATTACCAACTAAACAAAACCCGAATTTTGTCGTTTCTAATGGTGTGGATTTCCTTACCGGCCCCGCAGCTGCGTTCAGTCTGGCTGCCAAGCAAGAGCGTTCACCCGCAGGGGCAGCGGGGAGGCCGGCGCTGCAGCAGCGCGCGCAGACAGACGGACGGACGCGGGCCGAGCGCCCGCGGGGCTCCGCAAACAGCCCTCCGGGAAGCCCTCAGCGTCTCCAACGGGGAAAACCAGGGGCCTCCAGGCAAAGAAACACCCACAGATCGGGAAACAAAAGAGGAATAAAGCAGCGCAAAGGATGTTTCAGCTGCAATCTGTTTTCTGGTGCTGGCGATGCCTTCCTCTCCCTGGTGCCAGGCTCGGCACATTTGGAGCACTTGGCACAGTTGTGTCTATCCGTGGTTGCCAACGCGGCCGTTCTCCGTACAGAAACCCCGGGAGAAAGGGCCGCTCTCGGGACGAAGGCTCCTTCACTCTACCTGCATTTCAGAGATGACAACTGGTGATCAATGTGGAAGGGAACGTATCTCCCTCCACAGGGCTGGTAATTGCTGTTTTATTAAAATAGCATTAGCCTCCTCCTCTTTTGCACAGAACTAATGGCTCTGAGCATATTTAAATTCACTTCCTTTGCCGGAATAACTTATTCGTTCCCTTTCATGTTGACTTGGTCTTTGGCACTCTCGACATAAATGATTTATTGACCAGAGATAAAGCGTTCTTTCCATAGGACTGTTCTTGTGACCCAGGCAAAAGCGGATGTGTCTGCTATTAATAAGGTGTTCAGCATAAAAAATGCAGTAGACTTGATTGTCTGCACTCAATAGCCTTTCCGAGAACACAGTACCTGCCCCCATTCATAATAACAAAAATCTCTCCCACATGTTTATTTATATTACAAAGTTTTCAGAAGAATATGCTGGGATCCAGTTCAATAGATGTAGAACAATTTCATAAATATCCCTGAGGAAGCATGGCCTACTTTGGGAGCATAACAGCGATTAAAAAAACCCAAACATGATGAATAAATACAAGCCAAAAAAGTACAGTTAGGTTCATTATGGCTCCTGCAGACGGGTACCCCGCGGGTAACGCGGCTGGGCCCAGCGGAGCGATTCCCGCTCACGCGTCGGGATATCCGCACGCGCCGGCAGCCGCGCGCTGGGTCTGACAGGAACCTACAGCAGATTGCTCACCGTGTTTGGCTAAACAAGGATCGGGGCTTCATTTTCACATTTCTCAGGGCCTATAACACTGCTTTTCTATGTTACCATATCTAAAATCCTGGGAAGCTTTTAAAACAAAGTGTTTTTAACAGGAGAAGTTCACACATCTAAATTCATGCCCATAGACTGGAAGATGTTCAAAACTAACATTGATACACAAAATGCTTCTAGTGGCTCTTCCCCAAACCCAGCAGTTTCTCTTATACCCCTTTAGAATGACACCGTCCAATAAGCTCTTCTTTTACAATTCAGACTTTTCCAGAATTTTTCTTTAGGTGGTAAAATAAGAGAATCCCTCTTGCAGAAATTATAGCATTCTCCTTCTTTCTAAAACAACTGCTATCAAACTTTCTGTTAAATCATTCCACCAATATGAAATTGATGTCAGTTGCCAGAATACATTTCTTAAATCTGCAACAGAAAGAACTGCAAAATTTGCTGAAGCTTGGAATGGAATTTGGCAATACTCGTGGCCAGTTCATTTAATAAGTATCAGATTCCAACTTGCAATGCTAACAAAAGCTCTAAAAATACGTATGTTGCAGCTGGCAAAGAGTCTTGTTTTAAGGAGCTCTTTTACACCAGTTAATTTAAAATTAGGAACCAGGATTTTCAGAAAGGCAATATACATGCATACTGCCTGAAAATGTCATGGTGCTCCATTTGAAAACCCAAACTATCGGAACTCACTAGCCACTTCTGAAAATCTTGTCCATCAATAAAAATAATTTGTTTCTGGATTGAATAGCAAAGAAATACCCAACATGCTGAATCTGAGATGGGCCGAGAGCTGTAATGTAAGCCCATATCCATCTGAAAAAGGTAGTCCCTAAGCATGTATTTATATATGTTGAATGTACAGGGATCTTCATTGGTTAACCTTGCATTCCCTAGCAAAGAACTGCACAATATCTTTTAAGCAGGAACCTGCTCTAAGATACTCCTTTGACTTGACATAGTTGCACCTTCTCTCCATCACTGCATCTTCACACCAGCACGGTGTCTCACCAACAGTCACACTAACAGCAGCTCCATAGCACCTATTCATTCTGTTGGAGAGAATGATGGCATTTAAATACCCCCAAAGCTACCTTTGATTTTAAAGACAACAGGAACAAACAGTTACGTCCGCTCAGCATGCTGATGACATTAGTTCATTAGAAAGAGTGTTTCAAGAAGGTCCTGATGTGAGGGACAGACACAAAATCCACTAAGTCCCCATGGATGAAACGGTACCACAGCCAGCTGTGATACAGCCAGGGATGAGGCCAGCCAGAGACTCAACAAAAAACAACGGTCAGGTTGAACGCAACAGTCTTGAGCCTGCTACAGTGTATTGAAAGGCTTATTAAAACCATTTGCTTATTCCAGGTTCCTACCAAAATACTGTTGGATAGAAAGTGGAAAAAAGTTAATGAAGTCTGCCCTCTCTAGAGAGAGAGCCTTGCTCCTCAGAAGTATACAGTCTTAAACCTTACCTAGTTCACAGAGTTCTGGTTTGGACTGTGATTTCCCAATCCTGCCCAAAACATAAATGGTAACCAGCATTAAAAAAAAAAGTTTAATTCTTCCAGTTGACTCTGTTTTTCTTGTAGACCAAACCCAGGGTTAAACACTTCTCTGAGAAAGGCTCTCTCCCTTTCTTCTCCCTCAATGAGCAAGAAAACTGCATTTGGCATCCTGGAAATGACAACCTTTGATTTTTGGTGGATTAGAGGGTGAACAGACAGTTTCCTACAGCTCGTTCAACTTATCCTGTTCTTAGCTACCTCTTTGACAGCTGTTCTGCAAGTCTCAATAAAGTCAAACATTTGCCACGTGCAAATCTATCTATACAATTTACTGTGAATTAGTGAAGGTATGTAAGCAGTGGACTTGAGTTTGGATACAGCCTCAGCAAAAATACTGAAACATATCCTCTGTATTAAATAAAAAAAGACATTTATATATATATATGACTGTGCTAGTCTTCCTGTGCAGAAAGCACGTATGAAGTGCTGATATTGTTCAACAGAATACCATTAGACTGCAAAATGAACATATACAAGACATGTTTACATTCCTATCAGGGGTGTAATATTGTGAACATATTCACTGAGATTGGAGAATTGCTGCAATTTTTTTTCCTAAAACATCATGCCATCTGCATACATAACAAAAGAATCCAGTAGTTGCCATGCTAAAACAGGACTTCTAGTGAAGGGCACAGACTGTCCCCTAAAGGGAACTCAAAGTTATGCACAGTGATGAAAACTGGAAGAAATTTTCCAGCTAAAGGTCTGTCAATGACCATATCAAACAACCTAGCACTGGATATAACGCGCCACATTTTTAATCCCCGCAAACCAGGTCTTCCCAGGATGCATCATCTTGAGCAGGATGACTTTACTTCAAGATTGTCTTCAGTCCTCCATGGTCATCTTCTGGCAGTGCCATTTATTATGGTTTTTCTCAGGAAGAAGAGTTCACTTTCATATCAAGTGGCAGGACAGCAGCTTTAGAGGCTGGAAATGCTTACGGGGAGCTCTCTGTTGGGGCTGTAAGAAACAAAACACAAAACCAAAACCATACAGTAAGCATAAAATAGAGCAACAGAATTAAAAATACATTTCAACTAAAACAAAAGCCAAGTTTGTGCTGAGTAAATGTGCTTCTACTGTAAGGACGAACTACTCCTTGAAATATATCTTGTGAGCTGGGTACTTTAATCAGCTTTAGTCATCAACCAAAAAACTCAGCACTTAATCAATTTCTTAGATAAATACAAAGTGCAGACTGGCAATGATTTGTATAATTTAATGAATCCTGCTTGAATTTATTGCCTGTCCTCAAACCAGTGTTTACTCTTCCTGTAGCCTGAGCCCCAGAAGGCAGGCTCTTCTATTTGGTTGGGATTGCATGTGCTGCTCAAGTCATGGTAGTCGAATCCTGGAAAGACTTGTTCAGATCCCCAAGCAGGGACTGATGCCATCTCTGCTGGCCAAGGCAACATGACTTGGCCAGTGCAGAGCAGGAGACAGGAGCACAGCTCACCCACTTCCTTCCCTGCTTTAGATCCCATAATGCACCTAACGGGTTTCCTTTGCCCTGTCAAAAGCAGTAAAATGTCCTCATTTTTTGTGGCATTGATGCCACTGTTCTTTGCCTGAAAGCTCTTGCATAGCTGTAAGGTGCTCACATCGTAAAGAAGGAATATATAGAGGTTTCAAACAGTTATCCTTCCCTCTACTGGAACTCTTCTGGGAGGTGCACAGATAGAGGACGAGAGGTATCAGACACGAATTGCAATATGGGATATTCCAGTTAGATACAAGGAAAAAAATCATCCTAGGGAGGGTGGTCAAATGTTGGAACAAGCTAGGTGTGGAGGTGGCTCGCTCTGCCTTATGGAGACACCCACAGCACCAGTGGGCAAGGCCTGAGCCACCTGCCTTGGCCCTGCTTTGAGCAGGGTTGAGCTGAGCGCTCTCCAGAGGCTCCTTCCCACCTCAACTGCCATATGATTATATGATTCCTGATGGGGATTCGTTCTGTCTTTTTCAATAGGTGATGAGTGCCTGTGCAGGAATACTCACACGGCAACGTACCCAATCATTTACTCAGTATTCACCCAGTAAAATACATACAAAGCAACCTTCACTGGCTTGCACGAGAGCTCAGAGACAGGGAGCCATGCAGAGACAAGTTCACTATGCTATTTCATACAGCTGTGTTTGGACACACTGTGTTTCTCTTCTCACAGTGCCCTCATGACCACCAGCTTTACCAGGGCACTGCTGCGCCAGGGCAAGTGAGGGACCCCGTCCCCGCCGGGCAGAGCTGGGGCAGAGCCCCTTGGGTTTGTGCTTTGCACCCTCTCCCCTCTGACCACCAAGCCCGGTGGCCTCCTCTCGAGGGGGCACCAGCATCCCGGTGTCCTGCCCACGTTCACCTCGCCCCGTCCCAGCCGCTCGCAGCTACGCAGTGAAGGTCTGGCCAGCGGGGAGATGGTGGGAGGTTAAAGCAGCAGGTTCTGGAAAACCGCTGAGGGAGATTAAAAGGAAAAAACAACACTTGTCTTGGGCACTTCACTCCTCAGTCTAAATACGACCCGTGAAACCCATGGAACAGTGAATGTCTCCTGTGCTCTTCCCATCGCTGGGGGAACACGTGCAGCTTCTCACTTTGCAGCTCTCTGGTTTTACAAGTGCATTCCTTCACCCTGAAGGTCTCTAGTGTGATGGTCCCATTGCTACCTGCAACCATTGACTACATAATACATGTGTCACAAGTGCCCTGAGAAAGATGCACATTTGGGACCCAGGAAATATTTGATTTCTTGATGGAATTGACAGGACGTTTGTGCACCAGGGCCTTGTGCCTGGTCTGAACAGCTAACTGAGCATGGGTAGACATACTCCCAGACAGAAATCAGTGGTGATACTAAGCAGGTAATGAGGTAAGGGGAAATCAAAGGGATGGCAGGAGGTTTTAGCTTGGGGGAGAGGCAAACTGGAACCCAGTCTCAGAATTCAAGGTGAATTGGAGGCCGTCTCATTTTCATGCAGCAACAGCAGAGATGGGCCTGGCTCAGAAAGGAGCAGCAGGGCTTTTTTTTTGAGATTAAATAGCCCATCTGCTGTAAGGAAAGGGTGATCTGAAAAGCTCTTCCAAGCAATGCCAAATACCATAGGTAGCCACAGAGCTGCAAGGCTAAAATTAAATGGGTAAATTGCCTAATGGTATTAGGTCTCAGGGCGGCCCTCGTGCTGCAAGGCCCCAGCCACCCCCTCACCTAGGCCCTGCGCTAGTGCCTGGGTGTGAAGCGACTCAGACGGCCTTTACGGAGGGAGAAACTTGGGAGAGACAGAGACAGGTTCAACCCCGAGCCTGGACCACCAGCCACAGGGTCAGCACAACCACGTGGGCACCTAAGCCAAGCTGGAGGCAGCTGCTGACAGCCACCAAGGAGCAAACAGTAATCGTGTTCAGCTCTGAACGTAGAGCCTGCAAACTGAGGATTTACTTGTGATTTAACACACTTCTGCTCTCACCACCTTGTCCCTTCAGGCATTTACTCCTCCTGGTTGCCTATAGTTCTGGTGCCCAGTGGAGACTCCTCTCAGGATCCCAGTTTTCTAACAATCCGTATCCAACATTTTTCTGAAAATGCAGCCTTTTTAAAGAGTATCACAAATGGGCAGCTGCCTTTGAACACGCTGCCTTAGCCTGCAAGCTCTTTGGAAGGAGGACTCCTTTCGCAGGGGATGTCTGCTTACCAACAGCCCGCACACAGATCTAACCTCACCTCTCCAGGCACTGCTGCAGCAAGACACCTATCATTTCAAAGGAAAAGACATATTCTGGGTTTGAGCACCTGCACCGTGGGATTTTTTCTTCTAAATGAGAAAGGGACATAGCTTTCATTCACTTGAAATACATGTTAACTCAGCTCAACTGAGCTATATTATCTATTTGTTGTATTTTATCAGGGTTCCTGATAAAAAAAATAAGCGTGGTTTTCTTACCTTTGCTAGAACTAACCACCACTCCAAACTCCAAACTCCACTGACTTTGGAGAAAACCTGCATTCAGCTCCATCTACAAGCATTTTTCCAGCAAGTCCTCAGGTGTCTCCCTTTCTGCCTTTCACGGCACTTGAGATATTCCAATATTCTGCAGCTTACCAATCTGTTGCATCTTGTTGCTGGCTAAGGAGGCATATTGCTAGCTCGGAAGGATTTCCTACCATCATGAAAGCATGATTTGTAGATCCACCCTCTTATTTATTGCCTGCTGAATTATGGTGTGGTGGTGAGACACGGTGCGTCTCTGTGAGGCTGCGGAGGTGAATCTAAAAACAAAATATCTGTTCTGGGCAGCTGTGGTGGTGACCAAAGGTGGAAAGAGGGTGTCCACAGTCCCCCGCTGTGATGACTTGCCCTGCTGTGCCTGCGCATGGTGCTCCCCATCACGAAACCCCCGTGATTTTGTGCTTGCTGTGGGTGCCATGGGAGGAATCTCTGCACCTCCTCTCCCGTAGGGACACGCAGCTACCGCTGCACGTCCTGAGGGGCCACTACGCAGAGTCAACACGCCAGAGATCAGAGGTTGCCTGCAAATGTTTGCACAGCTGCGGCCTGG